TGACACTCCTCATCGTACCAGTTGTTCTTTCGGGCTCGCTGAAATCCGACTACTTCTTCGGCGGCGGTACTTAATGAGCGAAAAATGTGGTTCCTCTGCTCGCATATGTCGGTTTGTTGAAGAGTGCTCTCTGAGAGCAGGTGTGAGAGTCGAGTAGCGAAAGCGCTGGCTGTCTGTTGTGATTGCAGCTTTTCGACGTTAAGCTTTCCTTGCATATTTGGGCGCACATTTTTTGCTGCACATAGGCGGGTGCGTATCTTGGCTGCAACAAGATAGTGGTCCGAGTCGATGTTTGGGCCTCGGAGTGTGCGTACGTCTAAAACACTGGAAGCGTGCCTTCCGTCTATCACAACATGATCGATTTGGTTTCTCGTTTTTCGATCCGGAGACAGCCAGGTAGCTTGATGGATCTTTTAATGGTTGAACCTAGTACTGCATACTACCATGTTTCGGGCCCCGGCGAATTCGATCAGCCTCAATCCGTTGTCGGACGTTTCGTCGTGGAGGCTGAATTTTCCGACGGCCCACCCTGGCATTGAAGTCGCCAAGCACGATTTTGATATCAGCAGCGCTCGTACGTGCGCTCCAAGCGCTCATAGAAGAGATCCTTGGATGCCTCATCCTTCCGTCGGGGCATGGGCGCAGATGAGCGAGATGTTGAAGAATCTCGCTTTGATGCGGATTGTGGCTAGACGCTCGTCCACCGGGGTGANCGAGCCGCTTGCTCCAAGCAGACACCCGCTTGCAGCCGCACCTACTGGTGAACAAACGCTGCAGACTTCAGTGAGCCCTTAAACCGAATAAGTCGGAGTGGCCCCACCGAAGCTCCCTCTCTTTCTGCCGTGACCCAAGGCTCCACTCGGATTGGTTACCTCATCTCGCACATGGGTTGCTCACGTTGCTCAGAGTGCGCGAACGAGGACGCAAGAGTCGGGATTGAGTATAGCCATGTAACTGTAACTGCATACCCAGCGCAACGACTATACCCCATTGCACTCTATATTCAAAATACGCACTGATAAAATTAATAAAATCACGAGCAATCGAAAATATAAAGCAGCCTCTTAGAGAAATCATAATTTCTTTCGGGATACCAAAAATAATTATATTCGACAATGAGAAGTCCTTTAATGCCAGTCCAATCACGTTCATGCTATCTAATCAATTCAATATAGAGATACACAAAGCTCCACCCTATACGAGTTCTTCAAATGGTCAAGTGGAGAGATTCCACTCCACTCTCTCCGAAATAATACGTTGTCTGAAATCGGAAAATGCTCATTAATAATTTTCCGAACTTCTGGACAAATCCATATTGGAGTACAATAATTCAATCCATTCAACAACCGGTAAGAAACCACTTGAACTCTTCTTCGGCCACAAGATAACAACCGACCCGAAACAATTAGAAACGAATAGACAATAAAATGTTAAGAAACTGAAACAAAAACAGGAAGCAGACTTGAAATACCACAATAGAAATAACACCCCCATTAAGAATTATGAGATAGGGAACAAAATTTATGTGAATATAAATAAAAGACTAGGAAATAAACTAACGCCACGATACAAGGAAGAGATAGTTGCGAAAAACTTCAACAGCACAGTTCTAACTGTCAGGTAAAACTGTTCACAAAAATTGTATAAAAAATTGTTTTACTTCTCCTGCTTTAGATCAATTCTAACACTGGTAGTAGCGGTAGTGCAGATCCTTGATTACACTCACTCCCAACTCGTAACAGTTCATACAGGACCGGCGCGAATACAAGCTGGAAACTTCTAACTGATTCACATGATAGATTTGGACAACTATGACAACCTAATAGACAAACTCGAACAAGCAGCGACCGCCCACACAAACCCAGGTAACCCACTAACTTCCCACGTCCTTCTCCTCACGGCCCAGGCAAAATCCTGCCTTGATAGACTCAGAAGAAGGAAAAGCTATAAACGGTCAATTGATTTTATAGGAACCGCATGGAGGTGGATCGCTGGTAACCCAGACCACCGAGACTGGGAGATAATTGAAAATAAAATTAATAATGTACTAGAAAATAACAATCAGCAAGTAATCATAATGACATATTAAAGCTACTAAAAGACTCTACACAAATAGAAAATAGAATTATATTAAACATAAAAACTAAAATTGAAATTGTAAAA